AAGAGTGTCACTCTAGGGGCTGAAAGAAATTTACAAATTCTATGGAATGATAAACAAGAAGGTAGATCCAATTTTAAAAAGTATCATTTCACTTCACATAAGAATAGTGTCAGATTTTCCCTGTTACTTCTATTGTTATGTACCTTCAAGTTGGAACTGATTCATTACCTGGAATTCCAGCAGATTTTCAGAGGCAATAAATCACATGGGAGGCAATTGCTCATCTTTTTTTCCCATGGAGCTACTGGTGGATTAGAACCACGTATCTGAGTATAAAAAAAAAAGAACCACGTATTTGGAAGTGCAGTTCCTTACCCTCTAGGCCACCAGATCCCTCATATGCCTTCAAACCAGTATCACGTTCTTTACATTTCCTTAGTAAGACATTTATAGTTCTGAGCCATTGTTCTTAAAAAAAGCCTATAGAAGTTTTGTAAAAAATGGAGAGGTTCCTGATTGGAGAACGGGGAGACCAGAATTTCAGTTCCAGCACTAGCTGTCTGTGTGACCTTAGGTCACTCATTAGTCTCTCTGCCTTTCAGTTTCTCATATTGCATGTGCAAATTCTCTGTAGTACCTTCTGTAAAGTTTTTAAGGAAATATTTTTCTTTCAAAAAATGTTCAATGAATATATATGCTTTTATAATAGTTTCAAAAGCAACTAGCAGCCTTTTAAATTACTACTGTATTATCAATATTCAGATGTGAGACATCGAGCGAAAGTGATCAGTATCTCATCTTTGATAGAACCTGGCTTCAATCACTTCAGGGCTGAGAGTGACATTGATTGATAGCTGCAGCAAGTAATGGAGCAGAATTCTCTCCAGTCCCTCTCTAAAGATTTCCAGTGTGTTGCACTTGGTAATTGAGAACATCTACAATAGAAGAGTATTAAACAAACTACAGATGTCAAAAGCCACATAAAGCTGTGTTGGAAGAAGTCAGTCAAAGATTTCCTTAAAGGCAAGGACGGAGAAACACTGTCTCACATACTTTTGACATGTTGTTAGGAGAGGCCAGTCCCTGGGAAAGAACATCTTACTTGGAAAAGTAGAAGGTTACAGAAGAAGATTGCAATGAGATGATGGACACAGTGACTACAATAATGAATTTGTGCGTTATGGTGATTGTTTTGCATGATGCCAAATCAGGCAAGGTTTCAATCTGCTGTATGTAGGGTCATTACACATCTATATCCACTCACATCACCTTACAATAACAGCAAAGGTACAAACACATTATTCTAGGACAGGAGGACAGATAGTGCTGTCCCTGAGCACCCATTGACATTTATCAAGAGGTCCACCAATGAGCACAATACAAAGGAATATTTAACCTAGGCCCCTTTCCTATGTCTGACAACCTTAGAGAAACTGTAGTTACACGGAGATATCATTTTCTCTTAAGAACAGCTATGTCCCTCTGTATGTCCATCCTAAGAATTCCAAGGGTAAAAAAGACATGTCTAATGAGATCACCTTGTGATTTATTTTCAATAGAAAAAGGTGTGAGGAAGGGAATTAAAAAATTATACTGCTGTCAGATACGTAGCAAATCTCATTTTGAAGGCCTGTCCTCTTATGCTTAATTAGAGACTAAAATGTTTAGTTACTCAAGGTCCTGTGGTCTTGACTTAGAAGACTATTTGGTGTATAATGATTTTCTCATATGGCAGTGAGTTGGACCCATTGTGTCAGAGTATCTGCCATGCTCCGATTGGCCTACAACAGTAAATAATGTTAAATAAAGTTCTTGCCTCCACAGCACCCATCATCCAGTGGGAAAGCTAAACATAATAATAATAATAATAATAATAATAATAATAATAATATCAGAAAATGAATTTTAAAATAAAACGGAAATGAGCACTCTGAAGTAGCAAAGAGGTCTTGATGAAAGAACTTAAGTATCCTAAGGAAAATGTCTCTGAAGGAATGACAAACTCTGAAGGATGAATGGGATTTCAAGCAGAGAAATTATTAGACCCTAGTATCTAAGAAGGCATTTGACTGTGTGGATCATAACAAACTGTGGCTGACTCTGAGAAGAATGGGAATCCCAGAACATTTAATCGTGCTAATGCGAAACCTATACTTGGACCAAGAGGCAGTAGTCAGAACAGAGCAGGGTAACACTGCATGGTTCAAAATTGGGAAGGGTGTACATCAGGGATACATCCTGTCTCCATATCTTTTCAACCTGTATGCAGAGCAGATTATCCAAGAGGCTGGGCTCTATGAGGAGAATTGTGGCATCAGGATTGGTGGAAGATCTATTAACAATCTGCGTTATGCAGATGGCACAACCCTGCTTGCTGAAACTGAGGAGGACCTCATGCACTTGCTGCGGAGGGTCAAGGACTGCAGCCTTCAGTATGGACTGAAGCTCAATGTCAAGAAGACAAAGATTCTCACCACTGGACCAATTGGCAGCATCAGGATGGATGGCGAAGAGATTGAGATTGTTCACAGCTTCAGTTTGCTCGGCTCCACAGTCAACACTCTTGGCACCAGCAGTCAGGAAATCAAAAAGCGTATTGCGATGGGAAAGTCTGCTGTTAGGGACCTCTCTAAGGTATTCAGGAGCAACGGTGTCTCTCTGGAGACTAAGGTGCGCCTGATACAGGCCATGGTCTTTGCAATCGCTTGTTATGCATCAGAGAGTTGGACAATGACTAGGGAGGACAGAAGGAGAGTTGGTGCTTTTGAGCTGTGGTGCTGGAGAAGGGTACTGAATGTACCATGGACTGCCAGGAAAACAAACAGATTCATCTTGGAGAGGATTAAACCAAGCTACTTCTTGGAGGCAAGGATTCTGGGGCTTCGTCTGACATACTTTGGACATGTCTTTGGAGAGGGACATCATGCTTGGGAGGGTGGAGGGATGGTGCAGGAGGTGAAGGCGAGATGGATTGATTCGGTGACTGGGGTAATCGGGATGGGTGTGTCAGAGACAGTGTGATTGGCACAGGATAGAGCAGGGTTTAGGGCTGTTGTGCATAGGGTCGCTATGAGTCACAAACGACTCGACGGCACATAACAACAACAACATCTAAGAAGAAGCATGGTACCCACGAGATTCCTTCATGAGAAGCTGATAGATTGGAATGTAAAGATTGTGATGGGGCCAGAGGAAAAGATGTGGCAGGTTATGGGAATTCATGAATACAGGCTGATGATTTTGGTCCTTTTTCTGAAAAGCACAAGGAAGCATTAACAGGTTTCAAGCAAAGTAGCAAATTACTATATGTACAATTTAAAAGGCTCTCTCCCAAACTAATTTTTACTTTGTTACAGAAAACACATCACTCAGAAATATTTGACTGTGTCCAGAGCATCAATGAAAACATTATCTAGCAGTGATAATGAGTTCTTACATTGACCAACCATTCATTTGGTCCTGAGGTTCAAAGAAGGAATTCTATAGAAATTTTGCACATTGTGGTGCTGGAGAAGGGTATTGAATATACCATGGACTGCTAGGAGAACAAATAAGCTTATCCTGGAGAGGGCGGAACCGGGCTGCTTCTTGGAGTCAAGGAGTCTGAAGCTCTGTCTGACATATATTGGACATGTTGTAAGGAGGGACTAGTCCTTGGAGAGGGTCATCATACTTGGGAGGGTGGAGGGACAGTGGAAGAGAGGAAGACCCTTGATGAGATGGATTGACTCTGTTACTAGGGTAATGGGAATAGGTGTGTCAGAAACAATACGACTGGGTCAGGATGAAGCAGGGTTCGGAGCTGTTGTACATAAGGAGGCTAAGAGTTGCAAGCAACTGGATGGCACATAACAACAACATCTAAAGATCAGGGATTGTTGTGACTTACTTGATATGGACATTTAAAATTGAATACAACTATGATTTCTTGAGATATCCAGAGATTGATTGATATAGTCAACAAAAACATATTGTCAATCTGCTACAAACTGGGTTCTAATGTAGTTAAGAGAGGCATAATTATATACAAGACTATGCATTATTGATACCCTTGTTATACATTCTAATGCTTGAGGCAAACCATAAACATGAAAATACATACAAAAACAAACTAGTTGTTGTTTGTGTATAAATACATAAACATAAAGCTAGTTGTAAATGTTGAGTACCGTCAAGTGGGAACCAACCAATGGCTGATCCTCCAGTGAATTTTCAGAGACAGTAAAATCACATGAGAGATTTTTCATCCTTCTCCCACAGAGCAGCTGGTCAATTTGAACGGTATGGTTTCGGGTTGGCATGCTTCTTGCCGCTAGGCCACTAAAGCCAATAGTGTTAGTAAGATGAAGGAAGGAAGGAAGGGAGGGAGGGAGGGAGGGAGGGAGGAAGGAGAAAAAGGGAGAGAAGAGAGAGAAGGAAGGAGAGAGAGAGGGTGGAGAGAGAGAGAGAGGAGGAGAGGAGAGAGGGGGAGAGAGAAAAAAAAGAAAAGAGTGAAGAGAGGGAAGGCGGGAGGATGGAAGAAAGAAACTTGGTTCTGTAGTTTTGAGAAATGACTAGGAAAGCTATTACCTGACTCGACATTCTAGCAGAAAAACAGAATTAAATGACTGAATAGAACATGCAAAGATCTGAAGTTAAACTATTTCAACAACAAATGCAAACATTTTTCCATTTAAATAGACTTGCCCTGTTCAAAGAAGAGTAAGGTCAATTGACTTTAGTGGAGTAAATAGTGAATACAAAACACAGCACAGAATTTCCAGACACATTTTATGGTCCCACAAAATTGGAGTTAAAAACAGTTTTTGGATGTCATACTCAGAATCCTTGTCCTTGTCTGTGTATATAACATGTAGCATCAGCTATCTGTAGTTGCAAATAATTTCCCTTTCCTTTTACCTTTTTTCCCACCTCACTATCAGTATCTGATCTGACTGGATTTTTCTCTCTTCCTTTCTTTCACTTTTTAGAAAGGGGAGAGTACTAGCTTACCTTCATATTTATTCTCAAATTTATTGATAAAGTTCATTTTTGTTTTGCTAAATGTTTCCCTTTTTTAGAAATTGGCACCACCGTGCACTTCCAGCAAAAAGGTATGGTTCTTATTTCTGTTTACCTTCTATATGTTTAAAATTGAGATTTCACAGGAACATATTGACTTGTAATATTTTTTTAGTTTGTTTCATTTCAGTAATTTTTAGTAAGAATTTCTATAACATGTTTGTTCCTACTTTTCTCAAATTGTGAACTTGTGAACTTACATATCAGAAGTTATTGGTCAAACCCATAACCTCAATATTTCTTTTGACAGTATGTTAATTTTTAAATTTCTGGAACTAAAAAACTTATTTCCTTAGCTGACATGTCTAGGGCTAATTTGCTCTTGGATAGCTGCACTGTGGAAATATTTATTGCCCAATGAGTAGCCTCTTTCAGAAGAAACACAGAACTTACTTATGATCACTTGTTGGATATTCAAATTGATGAAGCTAACAGAAATAGAAAGATATATCTTTAAATTAATCAATTGAGAAGTTATGTTTCTTCATAAACTCACACTCTGGTAGAGTAAACCTGGCCCACTGGACTCTTCAGGAGCTATTTTTCTTCATGCCTTCACTAAAATTGTCCCCACATACTCTCACTGTGCACTTGATAAAAAAAGCAAAAAATTTTCTTCTACATAAACAAAGCAATCAAGCAAATGCACCACAGATAGATTCTAAAATATAAACATTTAACACTTCTGCAAGACTTTGCATACATGTTCAACAGTCCAGGATTCCTAACAATGGTGTATCCCAGACCAGAGTCACAGAGATCCTGTATAGCCAGTCACCCCTCTAACTTCTTAGGCAGCCATGTGCATGAGTAGTGGTCTCAGCAGAAGATATCTCCCTCATAGGGCCTTATAAAGGTTCAGAAAATCAAGCTAATTCTCAATATCAAATGTCTATTCTTTTGAGGGGCATAGAACCCATTGTTGAACAGTCACCACAGAGATTGTGGACTCTTTGTGACTGACTCCCAAGAAAAGACTAGCAGTGTTTCATGACATTAGTAGGTCCTCACAGAAAACAGTTGGAAAGAAGCAGCAGGAATTATATGCATGAGGTCAACATCATTCAGGGCAAGGAGATACAAACTACTGTCTTCTTCAGCCAAGGGCGCCATTATATTTGTATATGAAGTGGTTAATGTCACACACAGGAGTCTGTGATCCAAGAAGACTTAATGTGGATGGGTAAATAGGGCACAGGCTTCTTTTTCATTTCAAAGGCCATCAAGATATGCTCTTAGTGTCCTCTCCTAAGAATTATAAGTACTAATCTAAGATTTAAAAAACGCTTTGTGTCAAAATATTTTATACGATTTTGATGGGATAAAACAAAGTAGTAATTCTGATTTTGCTGTGAGAATATGCGAGCCTTATCTACATCTTATTTTGACAAAGAATGTAGCTATGATTAATAGAGTTCTGTGTAGGAAGAACGTAAATGTAATTCTAAAGTTGTTTACTTACAGTAAACATAAATATTTCTCCTTTACTATTCCAAAGGCACACGGTTTGAATCCACCAGTTGCTATGGGTGAGAAGGACGGGCAATCTTCTCCCGTATGATTTACTGTCTCTGAAAACCCGCTGGAGGGTCTAGCTATGAGTCAGCTCCGATTGACAGCACCTAACAATTCTAATCTAAGGGCTGTGGTGGTTAAGTGATAGAATTCTCCTCTTCCACTGAGGAAACTTGAGTTCATTTTCTGACCAGTGCAGCTCATGTGCATGCACCACTCACATGTTAGTGGCTTTAGCACAGAGTTTGCCATCGATGGACTCAAAAGCACCTTAAAACAACAGTCGGCTCCCTTCTGGAGAATATGGACTTTAATCCCCGATTCATTCATGCAGAGGAAGCTGCACTGGCTGAAAACGCTTAACAGGTGGCGCCAAAGTCCTTGTTATGAAGCTTTTCTCCTCAATATGGCTTCCCAGAAAACTCAAATGCCATTAGTCTGTGCATTAGATAACACTGCAAAGAGATGCTGCTCAGGAGTTCCTGAAGATTTTCTCTCTTTTGTTTAACAGTTGTTTTGTGTGTTTGTTTTAGTAGTCAGTTTTTGTTTTCAGTGACTCGTAGCTTTTAATAATTCTAAAAAGAATGAAAACTTACACTCTGGCTTGTCCCACTTCTCGCATGGCTGAATTATTTATAGGTAGAAAATTACAATTGACCCTGAATCCTTAGTGACTGAAAGAAGTGTTCAAGGATCACTGAGGAGATGATTAATGACCATGCTGAATAAATCTAGTCCCATACCCAGGCAATCAGCCCTGAGTACTCAGCAGAAGTAATAGATTTAAAGTGGCCACCAAGCTCAGGACAGGTGTTTGAAAAATCACCTTATCCTTTCTTTGAGTTTTCACTGAGGGGCAAATTAACTCCTTCAGAGTTCTGTATAAGACTGCAATGGAAAGGCTTGCCAGGAATTCTCCTGTCCCTCAATTTCAGGACGGTTTGCCAAATTTTCGCTTAATGACAAGTTCTCTTTTACAAACAGTGTCAGAGTAAAATGGTCTAGCATTCACCTTAGTATAAAACTTAACTTACCATTCTATGGCTGGAGGTAAGAACCCTGTCCTAACCTGGCCAAAGTTCACAATCATGCCGTAATTATATTTGGGTCAAATCTTAAAAGCCTTGATCCCATTTGTTTTACCAGTGCCTTTGATTCAGATTGATGTTTCATGCCATTCTGTAATCCAGGCTTCTGAAATGAGTAATAATGACAATGTCATCTTTTTCTGTTTACCAGATCCCACACATACATGTGTGTGCACATACGCATAGACACATACAGAATGTGGCTAAATACCAAGATTGATTTGTGTCTGTTATATGAAAAACATGTAACAAATTTTTGAATTGTGGCTCTATTTGCCTATCTATTCTTAAGGCTAATTTATGTTTGCAGACTCTTGCTTTCATTATATCTGTCAGGATATGAAAGCACTTGCTGAGCCTGGCCATCTGGTGTGGGAAATAAGATTTATCATTTGCATTTCCACAAATAAGCAGAAATTTCATAACTATGAACTAAAACATAATTAATGATTTTGCTGATTATTCTTCCCTGAAATAGCCATTAACTGAAGTAGTCTTCTATGCAGTCATATAGATCTATAATTGCACACACACTTGTGATGATTCCCCAACTAGCACCCATTTACCCTTGCATTTTTTCGAGCCTATTTATTTATACTCAAAGCCAATTATGAAAAGAGCAAGTAATATAAGCACATTAAATAGCTATATGAGAGCACTTAATAAATAATAATTGATAGCAATGAAGATATCTTTAACAGATGCAAAAAATGCAATAAATATATGGAATAATTAAGGACAAAATTAAAAATTCTTAACACTGGCATGCTGAGGTTTCATATGTACAAAGTGGAGTGGCACGTGAAAGTAACGTCTAATTCTCAATTATATGTACTAGAAGATCATAGTATGTGTGTATATCCTTTATGTATATGAGATGCCTTTGAATCATGGAGCTGGGCAAGAGTATTGAATATTTCATGGGCTGCTAAAAGAAAAAAATGTCTTGGAGAGGAGCAGCCAGAGTGCTCCTTGGAGGCCAAGATGGCAAAGCTTCATCTTTCCTGCTTCGAACACGTATGTAGGTGAGGCTATTTCTTGGAAAAGGATACCTTGAAAAGATGGAGGGTCAGCAAAGGAGAGGAAGACCCCCAACAAGATGGATTGGCACAACGACTTCAGCAATGGATTCTAGTTTGTCAGAGATTTTGATAATGGTACTGAATAAGGCAGGGTTCAGGTCGGTTGTTCATAGGGTCTCTTTGAGTCATACTCAATTTGATGGCACATAACAATACCATATTTGCATGCTTGTGTGTGTGTGTGTGTACAGTCAAGCTGGAACTGACCCATAGCTTACCTTCCATAGAGTTTTCAGAAACAGTATATCACACAAGAGGAGATTGCCCATCTTTCTTCCCTCGAGCAGCTGGTGGATTTGAACCACATATTGTTGAGTTATCACCACAATTCCTTACCACTAAGCCACTAATGCTCCATATAGATATATGGTATAGCTTCATATATACTTGTCTAATTATATATTAATTGTATTTTGTTGTTGATTGCTGTCTAGTTGAACATGACTCATAGCTATCCTATGAAAAAAAAGCCTTTCCATAACTATCTTCACTTCTCAAAGTTCATAGTTTCTAGAGGCATGTTACTTAAGAAGTGGATGCCACTCCTGCTTCCAAACCTGTCTTAAACTGGCCACTCCATGAAACACTGTCCATCATGGGTAACCATTATGACATTTGACACCCCAATGGCACAAGGTTGATTATCACAGCAACCCCAGGTTACCTCGATACAGCAAATTAACAGAAGAGTGCTGTACCACTTAGAAGAATGTTCCTCAAAAAATATAATAACAACTGACTTTTGAATACAAAGGCCCTCCATGAGGGTCTAGGTCTTGTTGACTCTAAATAAGAGGTATATATATATATATATGCCATATATATGCCATATATATGTGATATATATGCCATATATATGTGATATATGCCATATATATGAGATATATATATGTGATAGATATATAGATATAGACGCAGATAGATATAGATGGAGATGGAGAGAGAGAGAGAGAGAGAGAGATGCCATTGAGTCGTAACCGACCCAGGGGAGGACATATAGATATATACACATACAAATACAAGATACGGAGTTCTTGGTTGGTATAGTTAGGCTTGACTACTAGCTGAAAAGTTGATGGTTCAAATCTACCTAGGGTACCTTAGAAGATAGACTTGGTGAACTACCTTGGAAATATCACAACCTTAAAAACTTTATGAAGGTTTTTAAATGACCCTCATAGGGTCACTTCTACTCTGCACACATGGATGCTAATCATGAGTCGGCATCAATTTGGTGTCAACTAACTATGACATGCACATTCTCTTTGTATGTGTGTATACATGTCCTAACACACATATTGTATGTGATACTACAGATACTCACTATTGTTTATATGAAATTATAAAGTTCAGCTTCTTAGATATTCTGAGGTGGCTCCCAAAGAGATCTGAAAGAACATCTATTCTCTCTCAGTTTAAATAACATGATTAAGGAAATGTTTAAGCAAAATTGTTTCTAGAGAAATTTCTGCTTTACACTCTTCCTCACTTTTTCTTAAGCCAAAATGATTCAACAACAGCAGGTTTGTTTTTCATATGGTCTCAGCATAGTTTTTACTGGTGCATTAATCTCGGTGGCCCAGCGGTTAAACGCTTGACTGCTAACCTAAGATGCTGGCCTAAGAGGGCAATCTCTTGTGCAATTTACTATCTCTGAAAACTCACTAGAGGCCCAGCTACCATTTGAATTTGACTTGACAGCACACAATAGTGTAGAGTGTTTTACTGAAGCATTAATCTTGGTGGCACAGTGGTCAGTCAGCCTCCATAAAGATATGGTCGTAAAAATCCTATGTGGCTGCCTACCCTCTCTGCAATTAATTGGAAGTGACTTAGCATACAACAGTACAGTAGTACAAACATATTTCGGTAGGCCTTTATGAAATGAGTCAAGAACTTCTTGACATCTTTTGCAGATAGAAGAAATAAATTGATAGGAGAACAACATTGTTATCAGACTAGAAATCCTGAGAAGTTTCCTTTAAGAAAGCCTCAAGGTCCCACAAGGAAAAAAAAAAAAGGATGCAAGGCCCTGTCTTCCAGCTCTCCTGAGGGACTGCAGATTCTAATAGAGAGCTCAAAGGGGGTAAAGGACAATTTGGGATGATAGAGCTAAAGTCCAGAACACCTGAATTCCAGTCCTTGATCTATAGTCACCATGTAGATGACTGAGGCAGAATATACAGTCTACATTCCTCATGAAAATCATGGACCTCAAGGCATCTAGAGTGCCTAAGTGCAACCATTCAAGTTGTCCGAGAATTGTTTGGGAGAATATTTATTTAAATTGTTTATCCTGCATTTCCTCTTCTTTGCACATCAGGCACACTTTATAGAATCTCTATGTATAATAATGTGGGAGAAGGATGGGCAGTCTCCTCCCTTGCCGTTAACTGCCTCTAAACGGACCACAAGAGGGTCAGCTCTGGATTGGTTCTGACTTGACAGTACGCAATGTATCTTAGGAATCCCTGATGGCTCAGCTGTTAAATCATTCAGATGCTAATTGAAAGGTTGGCTGTTAGAACCCACAAACAACTCCAACTGGAGAAAGATGAGAGAATCCTCTTCTGTTAAGATTTACAGCATCAGAAACCCTTGGAAATGGTGTTCTACTCTATCCTGCAGGGTAATTATGGCTCATAATTGACTCAATAGGTTTGTGGGGTTTTGCATCTGTTTGGCTGGTTGGTTTTCAAGTATATACACAGTAGTATCACTTAAACTAGTGTCATCCAAATGCAGTAACTCTTGGAGTCATCTCAATACACATGGATATTTCATAAATAATACATAATAATAGAGTTTTAAATTGCTTAAGTATAATACTTCTTAGATTATATTAATATTTCCAACGAAATTGTTTTGTAAAATATTTCTACAGAATTCTAGAGTTATAACATTATTAGATAAAATACTGTTAGTAACTTCAGTGGTAGCCTTTTAAAAAAATATCCGTCTTTAATTACTTCATTCTCAAAGATGTTGTTACAGGTTCACAAGTAATAATTATCATTATACTGTAGCTAAAACACAAGAAAATTTGACAAAATCAGCTGTTACTAAAATTGCAGCCGCAGTGGAAACAATAGTGTGTGCTCCAAAGCATGTATAGATATAACTATATGATTCAAAATGCCATTATAACTGGGTAATAATGACAGCTCTGCTTGAGAACACTGGAAAATTTAAGAAGTAAATTAGGAATGCTTTAGTCTTGCAAGTATATTGATCTATGTATCTGTTGTTGTTTTGTGCCATCAAGTGGCCTACTACTCATGGTGACCCAATGAACAATGGTTCTGAACCTTGCCCTATCCTGAGCCAACCTCATCGTCTCTGGCACACCTGACACCATTGCCACAGTCACCGTGTCAAAGCATCTCATACAGGGTCTTCCTCTCTTGCGCTGTCCTTCTACCTTTCCAATCATGATGTCCTTCTCCAAGGACTGGTTCCTCCTGGCAACATGCCGATAATATGTGAAATAGAGATTCAAAATCCTTGCCTCCAAGGAGCAAACTGGTTTCACTCTCACCAGGACACATCTGTTTGTCTAGACTTTTGAAAAATGTTTTCACTGTCATTACTATCCCTTAAAAATAAATTTCTGTACCACACTGTACAACATTTTACTAACAGCCATTTTTCTGTCAGCCCTTCTGACAGTGTCCAAGATGCAGTCTCTACTCCCTGCACTCCTCTAGTGATGCCACTGTTTGCATTGTTATTAATTAAAAGTTTGTATGTATTCATATTTAATATTATGTGATATTTTAAGAAGTTCATCCATGGTCCAAATGGCTGAATGTTAGATAATGAACTTAAAGACTGTTAACTTAAAGGTTGTTCGGATCCAGGCATGAAAATCTTGGAATCAAGATCTAGCAATCTTCTTCCAAAATGTCACCACCTTGAAAGCTCTGCAGAGCACTTCTCCTTTGTATTCTTTGAAGTCTCCATTGTCGTTGCTGTTGTTGTGTGCCATCTAGTGAGAACCAACCCAAAGCTGACCCTCCAGCAGGTTTTCCAAGGCTGCAAATGGCCCAGGAATTGATTGCCCATCTTTCTCCCACAGAGCAGCTGGTGGATTCAAATCTGTATGTCTTTGGGTTGGCTGCACAACTCTTTACCAGTCAGCCACGAGAGCTCCCTTAGAGGTCTCCTTTAGTTACAATCACCTGAGTAACAACTAAAAACCTTTTCCATATTCTTAAGAAGTAATCCATTCAAAATCTCTTCACTGAAAATCCTTTGTGCAAAGGTAATGGATGACCCTTGTTCTTTCTGTTTAATTCTGGCTATTGTTTTAAACAAATCCAAATGTTGCTGTTTGACAAGAAACTCACCCAGATCCTTTCACTTTTCACTGACACTTCACTGTTCGGTGATGACAAACAAAAATTCTGGAGTCAAATTCTAGGGTAAAAAGAAAAAAAAAATCCAGCACTTCTACTTACCGATTGTGTAAGTTCAATATCAGTAAGAAAATAAATTCCAATTCAATGTCTATCAGGTCTCCTTGCCTCCCATTATAAATCTTGTTAATTATGGAGCCTTTCTAATACGATGGTTGTGTGTTCATATCTGCAAAGCATTTACAACAATGTCATTGTTTTCTTGTTTAGTTTAGTTGTGATTGTTATTGCCTATATATAACACAGAGTAAGAGACTATGCTTGAATTCAACATACATCTTGTATTATTTTACCTCTAGATTTGGTATGTGGATAGACAACTTTTTGAAACATTTAAAACCAGAGGATGGTTATACTGATCTTGCAAACCAGCATAGATTTTTTTTTCAAAGAAACACATACTAATTCCCATTCAGGAATATTGATCTACATGTATGCCTTCAGAACTTCAAAGTGACTCACAATAACAGCAGACTTACTTTTAAATATTATTGTGTAAGTAAACCCTTGCCTAAGTGCCAAGATGAGGTTATAGTAAAAATTAATATTCTCTTCTTTTGGTAAGTCGATTCTAAAGAAAAAACTAGAGCAAGTGTAGGACACAAACTCATCCATTGGACCCATGATCTCTGCCCAAATAATACTCTTTATATTAACACACAAACCCCTCTACCACCCTCTTCTCCATCTAATTCAAAGGTTGGTTATTCTGTCAAAATCACACCAACTCTCCAATCCTCCAAATCATATCCATATCAGAGAAACTAAGTAGTGGAAGACCCTTCCAGGCAGAATCTGGTCAACTTAAGCCTCAATGCTATCTCATTCAGATCTTCACCTTTCTTATTCCGTGAATTGTATTTGTTACATGTTTAACAAAGAGATTGAACTAGGGTTTGGGTCTTTTTGAGATTCTCCACCTGTTGGCTTATTTTCTCTCTCACTACTGTTGTACTAAAGCAAAACCAAACTTTTGTCAACGTGGAGATTCCCACTTACACACAGCAAGACAGAGACAGAACTGCCTCATAGTGTTTCCATGGCTACCTTCTCTCTAAAAGTCAACCACAGCTTTCTGTCCCCACTAGGCAGCTGGTGAGTTCCAACCTTTCTGTTAGCAGCCAACAAACAACACTTCACTTAACCTACTGTGTTACCTATGCTCCCTGTCATAAACGTTATTTTTAAGCCATTTCCCTCCCCAAGAACAAATCATGATGGTATTTCCCATTGGAAACAGTGACATTATTGCCTCCATGTCTTATTAATGGAAGTGCTGCATGAGACCATGGCTGGCTGTGGATGGGCCCATATCCTTGCTGGGACCTTACTTGATGCTGGCCTGGAGGAACTGCACTAGAAGACTGTAGGCAGGGAGATCTGATGATCAGAACACGACGGGGCCATGAGAGTCAACAATAATAGGCAACTTACGCTTTTCTCTGGCAAAAGTATTTTGCATTTATCAGTGTCTCAACCAGTGATACCCTTTGCAACATTCTTAATGCCAGGAAGCACTGGATTTAGGAAATCTCCTCCTGAACTGTGTCCTCTGTTTCAATCAGCACCAATGCTAACAGTGTGAATATAACCCTCGCTCTTTTCTCTCTTTTTGCAGGACCTGGATCGGTGAGAGGAATCAACGGATCCATCAGTCTGGCCGTACCACTGTGGCTGCTGGCAGCATCCCTGCTCTGCCTTCTCAGCAAATGTTAATAGAATACAAATTAAAACATAAGAATAAAAACACACAAAAATGCGTCACACAGGATACAAAGAGAGAGAGCGTGGAAGATGGGGGTGGGGGGGAGAACATTGGTTTCACAACTTTGTGTGTTTATAAATGAAGGGGGAAATAAGAAAATGAAGAAAATACAATCTTTTAGAAAACAAAATTAAGTCCATCAATATAAAAAAAAATGAGGATAATTTGGGGTGGGAAAGTTCTACCAGGATATGTGTATTTCTAAGCAAACGTACGCCGTGTAAAGACTACGTCATGCTAAAGACATTGGGATATTGTGAAAATAAGCAAGTCAAGAAGTACCTGATGGATCCCAACCACCACCCCTAATTCTTCCTTCCTTCATCCTTTTTCATCTATGGGGGGAAAATAAGGTCTTGCCTTTGGTGTTTATATTTCCATAACCTCTTTATTCCATTTTTCCTTTGAACCATTTCAGACTATCAGTGGAATCCACACTGGAGTTCTCTGTTGAACTTTTGCCTAGCTCCCCTGCCCTGCCTCCACTATCTCTCCACTTTTTAAGACCATACTGTCTCCCTCCAGTATATTCTATCTACACCCTTCCTGCCAGATATTCCCTGTTTACCCAGCCTTTGCTTCTCTTTGCTCCCACCACTTCCCTGAGCACTAGTCATGCCGCAAATGCTAGGAAGTGCCATTTTAATTTTATCTATTGTGCGTGTGTGCTCAAGTTCCCCCTCTCTCTTTCTCTCTCACGTGGCTGTACATGTGTGTGAGTGTGTGTGTGTGTCTCTCTCTTTAAAGCATGCCAAGGGAATGGTCCATGTGTACATAGACTCACTGTGCTGTAGATACTGTCCTGCATTGTAATTGTGAGATGCGGCTGTGACAAGTTGCTGGGGGCAATGGTAGGAAAAGAGATAAGGAGCAGAGCCCCTTCCCCAGCCTTGGCTGCCACATGACATCCGTGTGTATTCAAACCAAGTTGTGCCCCTTCCAAGGGCAGGACCCCATATTCCTCCTAGCCCAATCATCATAACTCAGTCAGGAGTCACTCAGAATATCACTGTAAATGAAAGTGCCTACTATTGATGGGTGAGCAACAGTAGAAAGAACCAGTGATGAAGATGAGGCAACCTAGGAGAGAAGGTTTCTGATTTCACTCTTTTTTCATGATTCTGATAGATTTATACATTCCTGAGCTTTTATGCAGGCTGGCCTCTGCTCTTCTTCAGGAGTGAGTGGGACTTGTCTAGCAAATTCCTAGAAACGGGAAGATCTTCAAGGGTTATTTCCCAGTGGCAGAATGATGAGCCATATGGAGATCCTAATCAGTCCCCACCCCAACCTCCGAGTCGTCTAATGACACTGCACTTGTCCCATGGATCCTTCTGAGCAGAGATTGTTTCATATTTCTGGTAAAACAGCAAAGCAGGCAATGTTGGCAGAAATCCAGAATATCCTGGAGAGAATATCAAAACTCTTAATACAAAAAGTAGACCATCACAAAAAGGAATTTGCTCTTTGTTCTCTTTTGAAGAATTTGGGTCTGGTGTCTCAGTCTAGTAATGTGTTTAGTTGTTTGTACCATCTCCTTTCAGTTTTACTGATGATGTGTCCAGCATCACTGTTCACAGATGTCCTTTGTTATTGTGTAGTGGGCTGCTGAGAAGTGCATCTTAATCACCTTTCTTGCTTGGTTTTAGCTTCTGATCTTCTGGGGGGAAAATGCAATGGAAGTCTGGGGTTTAATTTTATGTCTATATCCTTGTTTTTGCCAATAATGCTGAAACGGAATCTAGTTTCTTCGCTAATGAGCTGGACAACTTGTAATAAATTTAGGTGGATGTATGCATACAACAAAGCTTTACATCTCTATAGACTTTTCTTGCAGAGATTGTGTATAGATATCTTTGTCAGAAAACTAGTCACTACTTTCATTTATACTATAAAAGTATTGGAAGTGACTCCATTTATTAAGAGGCAGATGATTATTGAGGTAAAAATTTACTGTATTCCATCAGATCCCAAAATGGTACATCTTGCTAAGATCTGAAACCTTTAATTTGTTGTCACTTGCTATATGACAGGAAACTTAACAATTATAATGATGGAAAACAATCTCAGAAATTTCTCCTATTTGTTATCTATCAAAGTCTCTTTCCAGTAACTCTCTGTTGTGCAGGTAGTCACTTCCTGGCTGAGAATTCTTTAAGTTCTTCCACTATATTCTAGTTTTTTGTTGCTGTTATTCCCAGAAGCTTGTCACACTTCTACCTGTTACTATGGCAGTTCCTGACATAGAATACAAATTCTTATCCAAGAACATAGATACTAAAATTAAGAGAAGATGACCCACATCTATATGTAGAAAAAATTTATTGATAATCAGGGATTTAACAATTTTGCCTTCTTGGTGTAAAGAATAAAAATTTATCATCTTCGCTGATATGTTTTAGCATATATTAAAGAAACAGTAACATCTTTAGATGGGAGTTTTAGCAGAGTGCCTGCTAATTTAAAACTAAACAGAAAGTGGTAACTGGGGTCAATTCAAATATCATTTTACATTAGCATGAGGCATTGATCTCAATAGCCTATCATACTCTGTAATCAAATTCCTGGCATTCCTATTATTCTCACACTTTTATAAGAACAAGATCTTGGTTTTTTTGGAAGAAGTTCCTTTATTTTGAAAAGAACATCCATACCATGTAAGCACCATTTATCTTCTCAGTTTTAATATAAGAAACCATCTATTAACCATTCTTAAACATTCATTAAATATTGTAGTGACTTTGCATATAATATAACCCCAGCAATATCTGGGATTTTATTATTGTTTGCTCATAATACACTTTCATTTCAGAGTTAAAATATTGATTCCAGAAACCTCATGTATTTAAGAATGACTCTTAGTAATGGGAAGAACTGAAGAGAGAATCTTTTTGAGAAACGTAAAGGGAAAAGGAGAGGCCAGAGCACTGACACCAAGAAAGACGTCCTCAATATGAGATTTCTTGGCATTCAGTTCATCCTATTGTCATAAATACCTTTAAGAATTTTGTCCATGGGAAAAGAAAGACTGAAACCGTATACTGAAGAAAAGTCAACTGTTTGTAAATAATATACAGCTCTGAGAGGAGTGCAATGCCTCAATATGAGTGACTAATGCCAGGAAAAAATGATCTTTTCATGCAAAATTAAGTTTTACTCTTCATAAAACAAAATCTTTAGACCCGTCTTCAGATTGCAAAACCAGGAATGATCTGGACTGCTTTCTGTAAAATGAAAGTTGGCTTGGATTTTGTAGCTACAGAATGCCCAAGTCTGCTTTTTGCATCAGTGGAGGGACAGCCTGACTTGTTTTAAGACACACAATCCATCTGTTGTAAAAGAACTCAAGTTTAGAGGGGAAATAGGTAAGTTTTCTGTTGTGAGGGATGGTTTCAATGGCTCTTGCCTTCTCTTCAAAGTCATTCTTCCCCCTTGCCGTGGGCCTTCTTATTTTTTCCTTTTCAACGACATATTAAGATAACTGGGGCTATTCAGAGACCTTGTAAAAGTACTCGTGATTTTTATGTTCTTGGAGGACTTAAACAAAAATCTGTTTTTCCTCCAAAAATGGACGTACCTCCTTTGCACACAAAATCTAAACTCAGCATGAGATTGTTTCCGAGTTGTTCGTTTCTTACTCCAGACTCACGGGCTCCATCCCCAGCTTGGTTGTGATCTGATAGTTGCTATTGGCTAGTCTTCCTTATGTTCTCTTTTGGTTCTTTGCAGACCTTGGATTGTTTGTAGAAAAATATATGTATTTAATTTTTTTTATCTTATCTCTAGAAATGCTATATTTACAATGCTGTATGTATTATGATTAAAAAAATCTAGGAAAAATAGTTTACATTTAAAAGCAAGAAAAGTGTTGGATTTGATTTTAAAAAGAGCTATGCTTCACTTAGAAAGACATAGAGCCCCATTTTTCCCCACTTTATGGTTATTTATTTAAAAATATTTTGTTATGTACCACATTCCATGGATTAACCATGTCTTATTTTTTTTTTTCATCTTCATAACCTTTCAGCCTGAAATTAGTCTTGGGTCCCAAGAACTACCACTTTTTTTTTAAATGGAAATGTAAATGCATTGCTATACTTGACCTACTCAAACTATTACTATTTTACAGATAATTACATCTCACAAAAATATTGAGATAGGACTGTGAGTTAAGGAGCACAATCCAGTTTAAGGAATCTTCTTTTTTATTTCTGTATTTAAAATCATTCTTCTCCAAAGACTACATTTGCCCCAGTGATGTAAATGTTCCATCAGAGTTGGCATAACATCTGTAAACATCTCACTAAATGCAAAATGAAGTTTACATTTATGTGCATACTAGCAGAAGAAAAGTAAACTATTCTCATTTGCATGTAACGATGCTGTTCAAATGTCACCAACTAAAATTTAAGAAAGAATTTGTTCTTACACAGCAATGTACGTCACTTTCCTCTTGACAAGGAAGCTGGTGTCAATGTTAGGTTTAAGCTTAACATTTACACCAACAAATATGTTTATGAATATTATGGAAAACTTATTTTAAAACCTTGATTTCCTTTCAGCACATTTACATACTGTGTGTTGATTAATAAATTAGGCACCAATCATGTGTAAATCAATGTAAATCGCTAGTTTATGTACATAATATAAACTATGTAAACTAAATTTTTCATTCAAGGCTCAAGTTCAGCTAAACCTACGATCTTAAAGAAAAGAAAAAAAAGAAGAAGAAAGCATGGGGTAACAGTTAAAATATTCAAGATGGTGAGCATGGTACAAACATGAGGTTACCACAGCGAAAGGAAGCAGATCTTCAGAAACTAAACGGTTTCATATCCTCCTCAAGTCACAGGACTAAATCAACACCTTCAGAACCAATTAAATTGAGACTTTCAAAATCATTGTCACATTTGCCTCACCTGAAACCAAAGCTTATCAGATATTTCCTGAAATGAAGAGAGAGAGGGAGAGAGGAGCTAGGAAACATAATTTTCTATTGTATCAACTCTCAAGATTTTTCTCCGCACCTCCTACTATCAACATTGTTTTGTTTAAATAGATCCAAGGACGTTATCTACACCTCAGTAAGCCAACTATTTACTTAGGGTTTGCTCTTCCATTCACCAAAAGCACCGCGGAAGCCATCTTGTTGAGTCACATCCTAGGAAATAATTACTTAATATTTACTTACTATTTAACTGATAGTTACGCTTCTACATATTTGTCCTGAATAATAAATTAGGGGCAGAATCTTTTTAATGGAGATGTTCTCTTGGACATGTCTTTTTGACATCTTTTTGAAACACCTAATGCCTGAACATAAAGATCTTAAAGGAGATGGTGTCAACGACTGCCTGAATTTTTTTGCAAGGACTAAGTTTTAGAGAGAAATTAGGTCAAAATTAATGTGAGACTTAAAGAGTGCTCCTCCACACAAAACTAACGAAAAC